CAAGAGAAAAGAATGTGAATAATAATACCAGATTTTTTGGAGTTTCAGTAGCCTCTGTCTCTCCCTCTTCATGCCTAGTCGGCAATTTAGTTGAGCAATATTTTACAACCAGAATGGAGTTTTTTCTTGTGGTAATTAACAGGTTCAATAACTCACTATTCCTTCTAATATCAATCAACTTCAACTCGTAGATGTTAAAGTTGAGAAAATTTGTCATAGCTTGAGTCAACCTTGATTTCCTCGTAATAGAAGGACTAAACAACAAATATTCTATTTTCCACGCCTTCACCTCTCTTTTATAAAACTCTTTCCTCTTCACATAGCTCGACAGATCCTCCATTATCATTTTCTTTGTATTGAAGTCCATTGCAAGAGTATCAAATGTTTTTGGATGGTCAAGATTGACTGATTGCCACACATTTATAACAATTGTCTTTTTAAAGTCGTCTTTTCCCTTATCCCTATATCCTTGAGAAGAAACAATAGGAGCAGGTCTCCATAGATTATAATAAATCAATTTAAGTGGAACTTTTGTCTTTGAATTAGAAATGGGAAAGAGAGTTTGCTACATTTTTCCAAACTGACAAGCTTTACAAAAAGGTATTTTATTTCTAAGATAACCACATGCATGAAGTTTAGTCATTACATTGCTCAAAATTTTAACATGTGGATGACCCAATCGAGCAAGTCATAACATAGTAAGACTTACTTTTACATTAGATTGATTATTTTTCATACACTAATGATAAACAGCACCTAAAACATGACTATTTGAACTTGAGCTAGAACTGGAACTAGAACTAATTTTATTAGTGGAAGAGAGAGATGCTATTTGAAGATAAGCATGAGATAACTAAAATGCAAAAGCAGATTGTTCAACAGCAGAAGATGCAATGCTTGGGAGAGAAATTTTCAACTAATACATTCCATCTTTTAAAATTCCTTGAAGGAGAACAACTTTAGTAGCTTTATCGCTTATAAGATAGTAATCAGAATGAAAATCCACAATCACATCATTATCTTTTGTTATTTGAGAAATTCTCAGTACGTTCTTTGCTATTTGAGGAACACATAACATATTTTTAGGATGTAATAATCTATGAGAACTAGTAGAAGGTATAAAAGACACACTTGTATGAGTAATAAGGTCTGACTGTCCATTCCCAACTTGTACTTGAGAACCTCCTTGATAGTTGGACTTCATCAATAAATTGCTTATGTCTACAGTCATGTGATCTGTAGCTCTTAAGTCTACATACCAAGTTTGATCGGTTAAAGTTTGTGGATTGGCATAAACATATTTTTTATAGGAGAAGCTTGTGAATATTAATAGGCGGGTCACTTAGTCCTTGCTTAAAGGTCATCTCAGTAGAAGCTAATTACTCATGAAAACTGAAGAGTGCACCAGGTTGTTTTTCCAACCTCATTTCATGTTTGTGAAGCAAAAATTGTGTTTCCTGAAGTATAGTTTGACTACTGTTTGAGGTCAAATTTGTTACAACAACATCATATTCTTGTCCTAGACCATCTAATATGTACAATAGCTCATAATCTCTATATGAACTCCATTACAAATCAATTCATCACAAAGTTCTTTCATCTTTATCACATATTCATTAATGCTTAGTGAATCTTTTTTAGTACTTTGTAACGTATTTCTCAAATGTAGGGTTCAAGCCTTAGAGACAAACTAAAAATGCAATTGTAAAGTGTTCTAGATCTCATAATCCCGATACACTTAACAACATGTTTAAACATATATTCAAAAATTGCGAAGAATAGCCAACTGTCCAAAAATTGATCAATTCACTTCCAATTGAAGTAGTTAATGTTTGCTCTCTTGATTGATTGTCCAGATTATTTTGATTTGTCAATCAAAACATAGGAGGGCACATTCGTTCACCAATGACATATCTTTCGAGCTTATGAGTTGCTAAAGTAGGAAGAATCTACGAACGCTAGTATGTATAGTTTTCCTTTACTAATTTGACAGTGATCGTAGGCAAGGAAAGAGAAGCAGCCATATTTGTCTAATTTGTAGATTCAGTTTGCATTTTTGCATATTTGGGAATAGAGATTAACGAATTGAAGCTCAAATTCATCATAGACGCATGTCGACGGCTTTGATACCATGAAAGAATTTCAAAGAGAATTCTAGTATCGAAGAAAAATGAAGAATGTAGAACAAATTGAAGAGAGGAAAAAATTTTCTCATTCGCTGAAATTTTGAATACAAAGCTACTGGGTTTAGTAGGTTACTGGTGTTAAGTTTTTAGCTGCAGAGTAAAACGCATCGCATCACTTATTTACAAAACAAGAGCACGAAACACATTATTTTTGCTTAAACTTTGACCCACTGAGCTAATTTAACAAACAAGCTAAAACTGGACTTTGGACTTTTCTCAACATTCCACCTCAAACTAGACTTCCTAGCAGCCTATTGAACTACTCAACATTCCTCCTTCAATTGAAGTTTTGCTCAACATTAATAATGTGTGTATAATATACAAGGTAAAATTTCTTAAAATTTTGAGGGCAATAAGATTGAGATACTTCATTGGTGACTGTTTTTGGTGTAAAACTGACAGAATGACCAGTATTGGTTGAAGTGCCAGGATAGTATTGTTGATGTGGTATTGAAGAGAAATGAGCAGGAGTTGGTGCATTTGATTTAGACATAGGAGGAGTTGAGTAATCATGAAAATCTGCAAGATTATTATGGAAGGTATTGATAGAGTGTTGTGTGTAGTTTGGGGGTTGTGTGTAGTTTGAATGTTGTGTGTAGTTTGCTGCAATTAAGGTTGTGCAGGTTCAGTAGAATGCTCAGTAACAACAGTTGGAGAGGGACCCGTTGAATTGTACAGAGTAGGCTGTATCTGGGAGCTGTAAGAATTGGCAGTAAAGCCTTGATACTCCTGATCAAATCGGTGGTAACACTAGATGGCAGAATGGCCTATTTTGCCACATACTTGGCATACTAATCTTGGCTTAAAGTATCTTCGGCCTTTGCCCCTGCCTCTCATCATGTTGTTTTCAAACTGAAAGTGTCCAGCAGAATGATATGTGTTGGGTGAGTAACCAGTTCTTCCATAATTTGTTCCTTGATAACTGTTCTGTCCAAAGTCAAAATTACTTGCTGTAGGATATGCTGAACCAGGGGTTAGACTAGAGGTTGGAATGTTAACATTAGGGCTGTGTGAATACTCATGACCAACAGCCTGAGGATGAAATGGTACAACCATTCTTTGACCAGATGAATTAGTCAGAGGACTAGAGCACTTGGTGGTGTTTTCTTGGTTGGAGGCAAACAGAGCAGAATTTAAATGCTCATGAAAGTTTGACAGAGCTGAGTGTTGTCTTTCCAGTCTCATTTCATGTTTGTGAAGCATGAATTGAGCTTGTTGAATGGTTGCATTACTACTGTGATATGTTAAATTCACCACAACCGCATCATACTCTGGTTCTAAACCATCTAGTATATACAAAAGCAACTCTTCTTCTCCAATATTAACACCACTTGCTACTAACTCATCCCCTAATTCCTTCATTTTCAGGACATACTCATTAATACTTAAAGAGTCCTTCTTTGTGGTCTGTAACATATTCCTTAAGTGAAGTGTTCTAGCTTTCGAAATTGATTGAAAATGCAATTCTAGCGTGTTCCATATTTCAAACGCACTAACACATTTGGCTACATGTCTGAACATAGATTCAGAAATTGAAGAAAACAGCCAACTAACTAAAAATTGATCTGTTCTTTTCCAATTAAGATACTTAGGGTTTTGTTTCTTCACTAATTCATCAGTTGTAACATCAGTTGTAACAAGTTTTTCAAAAAGAAACATAGGAGGGCAGATGCTCTCACCGGTGATAAAGCTTTCAAGACCATGAGATGCTAAGGCTGGAAAAACTTGTGATCGCCAGTGACTATAATTCTTCTCCACAAGTTTTACTGTTATGGTTGGAAGAGTGGAGTGAGCAGCTGAGTTATTTGAATTGCATTTTCAGCTGATTCAACTTCAGATTTTGACGGAACATTGAAGAACTCAGGATTCGAAGCCATTGGCACTTGTCTACAGCTTTGATACCATGAAAGATTAATAGCTGAATTGAAAAGAGAACTGAAGCAGTGAACGAATTAAGAGAGAAAAGAAAAGAAAAATCTGTTTCAAGTGTTCTGTTATTGAAAATTGGTAAAGCAGATCAGTTACAGACGACTTTATATAGTCTGTTACAACTTTTGTTTCTTTACAAAAACAACCCTACTCAACTTCTAATCTTTGCAGAAACAACCCTGCTTCTTATACTTATTCCAATATTTAATCTTTCTTGATCAATACCTCATAACTTAAATTGTCCTGGTCAGGTGAGAAAATCTCTCAAACTTTTCACTATAATCGAAAATTAGTGTATCCACCATGTTTTAAAAATATGCATAAACAAATAAAATACAACTAATTTTCATTTTCAATTTTTTTATTTATTAATTTCAGGTTTCAGGTATCAAAATTAATGATGTGACCTATCTAAATATATGAGGAACTTCTGCTACACCAGTGGCTATAAAATTAGACTGCAGTAAGAAATACCCTTGTAATGGAATAAGACTACAAAATGTCAATTTAAAGTATCTAAAGAAAGCTGCCCAATCATCTTGTAGTAATGTAATTGGGAAAGAATTAGGGTCAGTTGAACCCAACAATTGTATATAGCTGAATAGCTTAAAAGAATTTTGTACATAATTTAACGTCATTGTACCTTATTCTTTTTAATAAATTACTTTATTTATTGATTACTGAATGATATGCTACACATAATGTTTATTGTCTTTGAAATCTAATGTCCAATATACCTTGAAAGGAAGATTAGNAAGCGATCCTATGCTAAGAGTACTCGCAACGAAAAGTGGTTTATCCGTGGACTTGCAATTACTTGAAAATCAACTTCCATTCTCCGTGATTGAGGATATATATAAGTTAAGTATTCTTAGCCCCACCTTCATGGATCTTGCTTATGGTTTCTTCAGCAGTACTGATACCTCGTTCTGCAGCTTACCTGATCCGACAGTAAAAATTAAACATTTCACTGATTTCAGAAGAAGTGTTATGCTAAAAGGGTTCAAGAAATGCTGCCTGAAGCGAACTGGAAAAATTGTAGATTTACCTTCTGCAGCGAAGCTGCGTAGGTCAGGAGTGAAGTTTAAACGTAGTGAAGAAAAATTTTTACTTAACATAAGATTTGAAAATCGACTTTTCCCATGGTTGAATTGTGGAGGGGCTGAACTGAAAATACCAAATCTGGTACTATACGAGAACACAGAAAAGTTACTTCTGAACGTGATGGCTTTGGAGCAATGTGTCTATCCAGATGATGCACTGGTTTCATCTTACATTGATCTAATTAATAGTCTTATTAATACTAGAAAAGATGTGGATTTACTTGTTGATGAGGAAATAATAAGCAGTTTTCTGGGAGACTTTGCTTCAGTAGCAAATATGTTTAACAGACTTTCCTTAGAAATTCGTAAGAGAGATTCTAGTTACTATGGCATTTGCGAGGATCTGAAAAAGCACTATAAGAATCGTTGCAACCATACCATGGAAGCCTTTATACGTTGGTTCTTTGATCCCTTGAAAGCCTTTGGCCCTTATAGCGCTGGTGCTTAGTTTTATACAAACCATATCATCCAGCAGATAAGCTTACCAGCGGATCTGCTCGTTGTACGCCTTGTTGATTGTGATAGTTGCATTTGATCAGCTTGTCATTCTGATAATAATGGGTTCAACCATTTTGCGCGCAATGTTCTTAATTTCTTCTTAAAACAAATATATTTTTTTTTAATTATATCCTTTTATGAGAAAACAATAATTAGATTTAATTGCTTTTTTCCCATCTTTTGATTATGACATTAATGCTGAAGTAGATAATTTGTAGATGAATTTTGTTTAAGCAATTCTTGTTATTATAACTTTTGCAAGGATCTGAAAGTGTGCTATAACAATCCTTGAAACGAAACTAAGGCAAATTTGAAGAGTGTTTATTTCAGCAATATCTGCAGAGGAAACAATAATTTTGTTTCGGCAATTAATTTTACTCATGTTGCTCACTGCGATACAAATCATACGATTCTGTCATGCAATTAGTCTTTACTTTAATAATTGTATTAGACCCACCATCTAGTGTAAATAAGTTAAATTGAAACCTTCTTACTGATTTGTCATTCTGCATTTTTAATTAAATAATTTATTTTTGTAAGGTTGTTTTAGGGATAACATTATTTATAGATTGCTTTTAATATTTTCCCTATGAATAATACTTTGGGCAGAGACGGATCATACTTAAAATCACACATAGTACCCGTACTATGTGTATGGTACCCGTACTATGCTTTAAGTTAGTACACTGGTTAGTAGAATCCGTTAGTACCCATAGCATTACTCTTTCCGTATACATAAAGTATGATTCATACTGTATGAAGAGGAATACGGATTCTTGAAGTTCATTCTTATTCCTTGGTTAGTTGAACAACCAAAAAAAGGAATTAGCATTACTTTCATTTGAGGATTTATCCAAACCAACGTATAAGGAATCCTAATTTCTTTCCTTGCGTGCTTGACTAAAATTGTAGTCTTCGTTTAACCTTTGGAATAATATGTGGACAAAAGAGGAAGCAGAAGAGAGAAAACGCATTATCAAAGAGAGGTCAAGGAGAGAGAAATACCACAAATGATAAGAAATCTCTGTGAGCTGTGATATCCGAGAGGAGGAAGTTTGACCATTACAAACACCAGATCCACAGAGTATAAAAGGCGAAGGACAGGGGAACCTACCTAGCAAATGATCCTCCAATTCATGTGATCCAACCATGAAGAGTACTTGAGAGCTCCAAAATCTGTAGTTATTTCATGTTAACTTGGGACTTATGACCTGTAAACTTGAAGCAACAACTGAGATGGTTCGATTTGCAGAGTCACGCATCATTTCTCCTGCGCTGTTAGGCGATGGAAATGACGAGGAATCTTTAGCCATAGACATCAGTCAGTGGCTCTGATACCATGTGAGAAAAGTCAAGAAAGAGCGAAAATGAAAGAGAGAAACTGCTTCTCTTCTATATTGATTTCTTAACAAACTTTACAATAATCTGAGTTTATATACTAGCTCAAAGACATGAGCTGAACTCAGTCAACTGATATAACAGATTCAACTCAATTTTAGTTTCAGAACTACGTCGTTTATACAAGAACAGTTTGCTCCTCCCATCTTTCATTTCTAATAGTTTAACCCATTAACTTGCATGGTCAACATTTCCCCTCAAAGTGGACTACTGTGCACCTCCTGGAACCTTGTTCCTTAATCTTAACATGGTCAACATGTAAGTGGCTTTTGGTAATTGTGATGAAAAAAATTGAATGAAATAATGAATGCCTCCTCTTGCTAATTATTATGAACTAAAGAAATGACCAAATTTGTTGTTTTGGCTTGTTGCCGTTGGTGTTTTTGGGCTTGGGTCCATGGCATGGCTTGCTGGTTTGGTTTTGCTCTATCCTGTGAGTGGTGTGCTGTTGGTTGTGTTGCTTCTTGGATGGCCTGGTGCTGGTTTGTTTTGTGGGGGTTTAGGTGTTTTGATTTTGGTTTACACATTGGTAAGTCTATGGAGAAAAGGGATTATGATTAATCTATGGAGAAAAGGGATCTGTTGTTTTTTCTTTGAATTGATTCTGACATTTGACTGAAAATAAGACGATGAGAATGACGGTTAATATACCAAATACTCACATTTCTCTTTCAATTTGCTTTAACTTTAATATGTTAAAAAAAAAATTAAATGAAAAAGGAGAATGAAAACAAATTGAACTAAAACTCTCTGGCTTTCCCTCTCAAACCAAACAAGTATCCAAAATAACCCTACGAAGAAAATGCGTTGACTGAAATAAAGCTTAGGCTTTGGATTGGTTACTTTTTTTGGGTGTGTTCATCTTTTAAAATGGTTGTAATATTAATGATCACCAATTCAAATGGTTTTGCATTACATAAATGAAGAAAGACTTGTTATAACTAATTGTAAAAGTACATAAAATAAATTAACTTTGAAGTGAGGGGCAGGGCGCCCACCAATTAACCAACGAAGTTTCTTTTTTGTTATTATTTCAATGATTGGAAAGTGGAAGAAGCATTTAATTTAATCTTTGATTTGTTATTCGAGATATTAATGATTGGAAAGGACTTTTTTCCCCTTGCCATTTTCCATGTCAAAACTAAACTTCGGGCTTGTTTTGTGGGGGTTTAGGTGTTTTCGTTTTGGTTAACAAATTGATCGGTGTTTTATGTTATTTTATGATTGCTAGGGCAGCCTAAGGATAATTGTCTTTCCTTGGACGTATACATTAAGTGGTAGTTTTAAACTTTGTATAATTTGTGGTTTAACTAAAGACTTACATAATGTGTGTTAAATTGTTTTATACTAAAAATTATTAGATGATGATGGATGATCTATTTTAAAAATATTTCAGATATTAATTTCTCATTCATTTTCTTTAAACTATGAAATTGATTTGTTCTTACAAAACCAATTTTTTTTAGAAAACCTAATTGTTAAAATAAATTGATTTATCTTAAAATTTCAAATGAAAGTTTATTGAGATTTATTATTTACATAAGATAGCACATTTTTAGGTATTTGAGGATCTTAAAGTTGATTTGAAGACCAAGGCTGAGAAGAGTGAGGGCACCACTGCTACTACAACCATAAAAAAGAAGGTATAAATTACGTAAATTAAAATTTAAATAATTTATTGGTCGTTTATATTCATTTACATTATCACTTGTAGTATATTTTTTGTTGGTATCTATTTATTTCTTTGTTTTGTATGAAGATGACTATGGTTTAATTGGGTTGAGTAGTGTCTTTGTGAAACTGAATTTCTGTTTTGTTTGTGAACCCAGAAGGTCATAATGGGTAGAAGATGGATTTGGTTGTCTAATAGGTTGTGCGATAAATATGTTCAAAGAATTGAGTCTTTCATAGACATTGCAAAACAACACTTGAATAGTGAGGGTAGGACCCGCTGCCCATGTAGAACTTGTTTGAATACAAGATCATATGATATATTCACCATTCAGCTACATTTGTATAGATATGGGTTTTTTAGAAGTTATGATGTATGGATTTTTCTTGGGGAACACATGAATCTAGGAACAATATTTGATGACATGTCTGACGATGAAGTGGACAATGAATATGAAGATGACGATGAAATCATGGAAATGCTGAATGATGCTTGTGGTCCAGTAAACATGCATATGAATGAGGAAGTGTTTGGTAAAGCTTCTTGCTTCAACTAGAATTTTGCATTCTCTGTGACTCAACAGCATGATACATCAGAAGTAACAGAGTTAAGAGGCATAGTTGAACCACAACAAAATAGGATTAAATATTTAGAGGAGCAGTTCATACTATTTGATCAACAAAAAAAGAAAATCAAAATGCTTGAAGAACAACAAGCTCGTATGTTAGAGATGTTGACTCACATGACTATAGCAGCTGCACGTGCTCAACTTGCTACCGCTCCAACTGGACTACCATCTCCATCTCCAACTGATGATGAATCTTCCTCATCTATTGCAACTGCTTGTAGAACCTCAACTGGTGACATTTGAGATGCTAACATTGAGGGTTAGTTTTTTGTTGTATAGGCAGTACATATTTTGACATGGGGGTAGGACAATCTTTTTGGACTTTTTTGGGATAGCTTGTACATATCCTTAGATGATGTATATGGGGTGGGCATTTTGTTTGTTGTAGTTATGCACATATAGATAGGTATTGGTGAAAATGTGGGTGCATGCTTTCTTTTTTGGTTATGCACACATGATAGTGCATTTGAGATTTTTATTGCTCATCATGCATAAAAATCCGTGTATGGACTATTAAGTTTATATGCATTGAAGATGTTTGATGTTATTAATCCAAATTTTTATATTGTTCCACTCTTATGTTGTTGATGTTGAATGTATAAAACCAGGGTAATGACAAAGAGCAAAAACAATGTTCTTAAATGTTAATCAATTAGCTACTAAAGTTTCCAAAACTCATATACAATCGGTTACTAAATTATTTAGATGCAAAAATTTAATTTTAATAACTAAATCATTAGTTGCCAAATGTAAGAAACCAAATTAGGCATACACACTCCTTAACTAAAAACGAAATGTTTTTATCACTAATTTTTTTCTCATAAAATCACATATTCTGTAACTAATTTCGTAGTAGCAGAAAGTAATTTACCAAATTTTGGTTCAACATTCAATGTTTAAAATTATTGGAATTTATCACAATTTTTTTGCTCACTAAAAGATAAATTCTGCAACTAATAGAATAGTTGCAATACACTTTTATCAAATTGCCTTTACACATTCAGTGTCTAAATTTTTTGGAATTCACTACTAATTTTTTCTCATTAAAAGATGCATTCTTCAACTAATTGAATAGTTGTGATACACTTTTACCATATTATCCTTACATATTCAGTGGAGCACTATTTCAAATAGTAATTAGTAACTAAATTGCTAGTTGTTAAAGAAAACCTTTCCTCGTCTAACCTAATATTTAGTTGCCCATTCTTCCTAGGACAACGATTCAGCAACTAAATGGCAACTACGTAAGTTT